ATGTCATTTGAGCTCCAAATTTGATCCCAAAATTTAGTCAGTGTAGCATTAATCTTTATTTTATTCGTGTAAATCGTCATTTAGAATGACGTCTTTAGAGTCGTGATTTCAAATGACGTTTTTATTAAATTTCACATTACGTCTAACGTCGTTATCAAGCCGTTTAAAATAATAATTTAAAAATATCACTTTAAATGACATTTTATTCATTAACTATCACAATATTTGTTCACTTCTGTTAAGGTTAAAAATGTCATTTTAAATGACATTTTTATGAAAAGGCTTAGTTTGAAAAATAAATTTAAAATTAATTGAGTTTAAAAATAAAATTTGTGGGAAAACCGATTTTTTGTCAAAAGCTCCAGAGGAGTTCCCATGCTAGTTTATAGGAAATTTTATATTTTTAAATTCTGTATCTTCTTAAATTTCCGTTGTGGGCTAAAATTAAAAGGTAAAGGCTGCCGTCGCATCGTTGAGGTTTAATTTAAAAAACTAGAATAGTACTCATCGGTGTGGTGTGTAAAATAATCTCTTTTTTTTACGGTCTATTGGGGGCATGATTAATTAGAGTTAATAATTAAATCGAGTTATTCGAATTTAACTTAAACTCAGTTAAATTAGAACTTGATTCAAATTCGGCTTGTTTCGATCAATTTTTTAAATTTATTTAAAAAATGATCCTAAAAAGATTCGACTCGAACTTGCATAATTTAGTTTGCTTATATGTAAAATAGTCGAATTATTCAAACTCTACTTGTCTTGGGCTCGGCCCGAACTTAACACATTTTTTAAACGAGTCAAAGTTGAATAATTTATTAAGATCGTTTAAGAAAATGAGCTTGACATGCCCGACTCGATTATCAGTCAACACAACTAAACATCAAGGATTAGAATGGATGGGCTAAACCCAAGGGTCCAACTCTAAGAGGTTCAGCTAGCCAAGTTCAAAGGGGTTTGCACCCGGTCAAACTCATCAAGTTCCAAGAGTTACATCAGTAGAAGAGCACGCAGGGTCGTCTAAGAGCTCATCCAAGAGCCTTCTCCCCTACCTTCGAATAAGAGTTATCTAAGACTCTCCTCTACCACCTTAGAGTAAGGGAGCATCCAGGAGTCTCACTCCCGCTGCTCGGAGAGAGTCAATCTTCCCTCATCCTTTAACCAAATCCTTTGGAGAGTATCATCACTTCCTTACCCGTTGAAGAAATGAGAGGTCGTCAAACTATTTAATTACTATTAAAGTCACCCTAATCCATTATGACTATTAAACGACCACAACCCGTTATGACTATCAGATTAGTTATTTAATTACTACGCTAAATCATTATAAATTGTAAGCTCCACCAACACTTGGGGGTATCTCATTCATTTTGAACATAAATCTTTCCTCCTCTCTGAAAGCTTGTAATCTTCTGTTTTTCCATTGCACTGGAGTTAATAAAATCCCGACGACCCTTGCCATTTCAAGTGGACGTAGGTCACTTTGACTGAACCACTATAAACTTGATTTTCTCTCTTTACTTTATTGTATTTTATATTATTTAATTGACAGGTGATGTACAAATCAATTCTGTGCATCATCAGAATGGTTCTCCTGCTTCATAGAAAGCAAAAAAAAAAAGGTGGCATCTCTCTCTCTCTCACACACACACACACACGCACTGCATGCCTTCGAAGCTTGTACCGAAGCCCCATATTGAACTATTACCAAATGTAAAACAAATCAGAAGGAACCCAACAAACTATGTACGGTATGCAACTATGAAACAAGTTATAACAAATTGGGCCCAAAATGTTTGATACAGGAATGCAGGCGGAGACAAGGGAATAATACTGAGAAAACCCTATTGGTGGTCAAAGGAATAATCTCTCTTACATGGCCATATTGATGCACTGGGACTACCTAGTGCATCTTTGCAACTCACACATCACTAATCGAATAGATTAGGAGATGCTCTCAAATAATTGAGTGAGTCTTTTTGAAGCTTTTTCACACACTACATCACATAAAAATTCTATGTATCCAAGAATATATACATAGAGATTTCATCTTGATATGGTTCATGAACATCACAACCCCACATCTTGTGAAAAAAACACATTACAAGTGGGTATCTCTATACACTCAACAACACCAAATTAACTAACAAAAAAACCAAGAAACAAAATTTGGACTGCACCCGTTACATTCTCAGTGAGCATATTTGCACTTTGTGTACGTATATGCTGTTTGGACCATGGTAGTTCTACAGGAGCTTCGTCTAATTAGGGGTGTCAATTTGTACCACGTCATATCTCACGTAGTGTTATTCGTGTCTAACACTAATTCACTCATTTATTATCCGTGTTATTCAGTTTTTTTATTTTTGAATTTGAATAGTGCTAGACTCATGTCGTGTTTGTATCAAATGACAAAATTGACACCCCTAAGTCCAACTATGGTACCTATCATTCTTTTTCGTCCAATGAAAATGTGGCAGTGATGCGTAAAAATATTTCATAATTTTATTTTATTTTGTTGTTTTTATGACTATAAATGAATCAAATCTATAATTAAAAATTATTTTTCTTATGGTAGCAGATTTTTTTTTTTTTTTCTTGAGTATCATATCATTATCCTACTCTACAGACATGGCTGCCAGAGAAATTGAAAATGTTTATTCAATTAGAGGTGAGAGAAAGAGCAGAAGGAATATATAAAGATGGGTATAGCTGAGAATCAAATATAAAGAGTAACCAAACAAGAAGCACTGATTTGGACAAAAAAAATTAATAAATATTGTGTTTTTGAATATTCAAATCCAAGTGCATCTTTCTTTACAGGTGAGAAAAAGGAGAATAGCTTTTCACAGGCACACACAATCAGCAGCAAAAAACATATATTCTTTGAGTAGCCATACATTGTTGGGTTTAGGTTCTTATTCCTTCAATCATTTGAAGCTTGTGCTCTTTGCTGAGATCAAAACACGAGAGAAAAAGATGTGTTAATGATCAAAACAAACCTTAAACATAGAGAATCTTAGTTTGCTTTTTGTAAACATAAGCACCCATGGTTTTACTTTCACATTCTATAGGCTATGCTATAAGGAATAATGCACAAAGCACTTAAGAATAAAGATAAAAGGCAAAAAGGGAAGTGCAATGAGAGTGAATAAAGGCTTAGGTACACCATTTGGTAATGGATTTCTAAAGCATTTGTTTTAAGGGAAAAAAATGTTTTCATCAAAAAAGTAAAAATAAGCACTATTTCACAAAAGTAATCTAAATGCATATCGTTACATTAATTATATTTTTGATGTACTCGAATTTTATATAATAATACATGTGCTTATAGTTAGAAGAAGGGAGCAAGTCTCAAAAAGGATAAACAAAAAAGTACAAATGCTACATTTAAAAAGATTTTTTTAAGGGAAAAACTATACTTTCAAAAAAGGAACCAAACATTACCTAAATTGAGAAAAATTAACAAGTTCCTTTATATCCTTGCGCTTCTTCATATCTATGTTCTCTTTAGTCATGGATATTTGGCTCTTTTTTTTTTAATTATAAAATATTTAAACTTGCGTCAACTACTCTCTCTTGAATTTCGCAACTAACCATCCTGACATGAATACTTAACTACAATAAATCACAACAATTTTGTTCAAGTGTGTGTGTATATATATATATCACAACAATTTGATTGCAATTGAATCATAGAAAACCAGAGACTAAGTTCTGGTCCCATGGAATGAACATGAGGTAACTAAATGCATAAAGGAATTCCATTGAGAGAGAGAGAGAGAGAGAGAGAGAGAGAGAGAGAGAGAGAGAGAGAGAGAGAGAGAGAGAGAGAGCATAGCTACAACAACCAAACTAGAATTAGAAACCGACATAAAAGCAACATACCCAAGCTTCATTACTTTTAAGGACAAAAACCAGAACTACTTTTTTTGGATATGCATATGACCAAGTCAAGCTGTGGACAATGCATGAGACTTCCCTATCTGCATGAGAACACATCAAAAACACTCTTCAACCAGATCAGAGACCAACAATTTCCTTACACAAAACCACCATAGCTTCCTTGTCAACATGTCCACTAGTTCCCTACTTTTGATTCTTCCCTAGAAAAACAAAAACAATAAAAAAAAAAAAAAACCCAAAATATCCGAAGAGAATATAGCATAGTTGACAAACAGGTAAGATCTACAATCTCCACATATAAAAGGTTTCAAAATCATGGAGACGATCAAATTAGCAGACCAAACTTTCAGGAAACCCTAGATAGAGTCTTGCAAACCAAGGGTTGTTTCATCTCCAAGGAGAGATTCAAGCACTCAGACAAGTCCACACCATTATCAGAAGCAACCCATTTGAAGTTCTGAAGCAGCTGAGCTAACCAGAGTTGAACAGTTGCAATCCCCATGGCCTTACCAGGACACACCCTCCTCCCAGAACCAAATGGTGCCAACCTAAGATCAGACCCCATAATGGCAACATCCTCTTCCATGAACCTTTCGGGCCGGAACTCATTCGGCTTCGGCCAGAACTTCTCATCGTGGGTTATGGCCCACATGTTCACCATGGCCGTGGTGCCGGCTGCAATAAAGTGATCGCCGACATGGGTGTCGTGGACTGCAAGCCGGGCCCATGAAAGAAGTGGGCCAGGTGGGTGCATTCTGAGAGTTTCCTTCACTATGGCATTAAGGTAAGGAAGGTTGGGGAGGTCAGAATCTGATACTGCTCGTTTTGTTCCAATTACAGCGTCAATTTCAGATTGAGCTTTGGATTGAATATCAGGGTGAAGAACCATTCTTGCTAGAATCCACTCTAGGAGGATTGCCACTGTATCAGTCCCCCTGAAGATCATTTCCTGAAACAAAACAAAAGAAAACCTCCATTTGTTATACAGACACTAAAAGATGTACTAAATGTTCTAAATATAGAATCTAGAACAAGAAAATGAGCAATGCTATGGTACTCAAAATATATTACCAAAACATTTTACCATATCGATATAGATGGTTGAATCAATGAAGAATCCCATGAGATTAGTGGGGGTTCCCTTTTTTGACAGGACTCCTTGATTCAATGATTTGCTAAAATTTATAGTAAATTTTTTTGGTATGCACATCATGTCATGCTAGAACAAGAAAATAACAGTAAATAGAACAAGAAAGCATGAGAAAATATCAGTGTCATCATCATCAGGCAAAGAATAAAGATGGAAGATATTCAGATTCCCCATATCTTTTGGATAACAGAAAAAGAAAATGCCCAGATCTACATTCCAGCATCTATACTCCATGAAAAAAACAGAAGCAAACCTATGATGAAGAATCCAGTAAAACCATAGGGAACCAACATCGACCAAAATACATGCATAAACAGCATAGCAATAACCAGCATAACTTACCAAAATTCACCAAAACAACTGAGAAACAACGTAAACTCATTAGGAATAACCTAGTATATGCAACAAAGCACAAATATCAGGCTAGGAAATTAACAAATTATCTCAAAATTATCCCAGAAAATTATACTTCGGTACGAGAATAAGATTTGGCAGAGAAAAGTGAAATAGAAAATTACCCAAAGAACAGCAATCATGTCAGAGTCACTAAGCTTGTTCTCCTTCTCCAAATCAAGCAAGACATCAACAAAATCACCAGAGCTCTCATCAACAAGTCCTTCATTCTCAGCTCTCTTCGACCTGTGCTCCTCTATGATCTTCCCAACAAAAACATTCACCTTAGCCACCAACTCTCTGCACCTCTTTCTCACTCCTTGCAAATCCAACCACCCCAAAACAGGAAAATGGTCACTCCAGTTGAATATCCCCAGTAACTCGTATCCCTCACTCACCAAACCCTCTAACTCGAACCCATCTCCATTTTCCCCGAAGTCATATCTTTTACCAAACACACTCATCATCACATTGTTCAAAGACCCGAAGTGTAATACCTTTTTAATCTCAACCTCATCATTTTTCTCCATCAAACCCTTGATTTCTTCAACCATTTTGATCCCAATCATTCTCCGAAACTCTCCGAAATAATAAATTCTTCTGGGACTGAACAAATGAGTCGCTGCGATTCTTCTCAAGTTCCTCCAGTACTCTCCATATGGAGCAAAACCCATTGCTCTGTGGAACAGAAGCTCATAAGCAGACTCTTTCACAGGCCTATCAGCAAACGCAGAGCTATTCAAAATGTCCTTCGCGGTCTCTGGGTGGCTAGAGATGATGAAACGCGTGAACCCAATAGAGAACGCCATTAACTGTACGGCCTTGAAGCTCCTAGAGAGCTTAGCGAGAGCTCTGTGTGTCAGAGAACCAGTAAAAACGAAGACTAGGCCCAGAACCGGCAACCCAGAAGGTCCTGGAATGGCCGTCTTAGACCGGGGTTGCGCTTTCGAGAGTGCCCAAGCTAGCCCTCCTGGGAAGAGCCCAAAAGCGAAGATGGCAATGAAGAGAATCGCACAGAGGAAGAGCTCAACGCTGAACACAGACGAGTAGTACCCACTTGGAGGAATGAGGAGAGAGACATACTCTGACGACATTTTTTTTGGAATTTTAGAAGAGAATGAGGTTTTTTTGGATGATGGGTAGTTCGGAAATGGAGGAAGACAGTAGGGTGTGAAAGAAAACGATGAGAGAAAATCACGGACAGAGAGAAAGAAAGAGAGTCATGGGAAGTGGAAGTAGTGGTGCGGACCGTGGAGACGAAGAGTGTGTGAGAGACTGGTTAAATAGAGGTGATGTGTGGCTAAGGAAAACTTAACCCTAGTTAAATTTTAGATTTTAGAGAATTAAAAAGTCTATTGGCCTTTTAAAAAAAAAAAAAAACAATTGGACGGATTTGCCCTTTTTAGGGACCTGTCTATATTATGCGAATCAGCTTTCGTACTATTGGGTGATATTTTCTGGTAAATTACGATTCTGCCACATAATATGCTAACGTGGTACTTTGGACTACTTTTTAGATCTCGAGGATAGAAAAGATAACAAAATCTTGATCACTTTAGTAGTTTTATCAAATTTATTGTTAAGACATGAATATTCATTTCATTTTTTAAGGGGGAGGGGCGTGTAATTTTAACCGTAAATACCTAACCATGGTTAAACTGCCGCATACAATTACTACTACTACCACCTTGCCAGCTAGCTGAAATCGATTAATTAACCATCATCATGAGTACAAAGCTTATCCCCCTCCAGGACACGTGTTCAGCGTTTCTTACGCTTTCCTTGGGTCCGGATTTTATAGGGTACCCCAGGAATTCCGTTTTCAAAATAACGTACATATAAAACGATATCGTCTAAACAAATAATACCCAACGTTATAATTCAAAATTTGTATCCATCTTCCTTTCACCAATTGCCGTTTCCGTGCAATGTAACGTTTTTTGAGCATGACTTAAATAGAGGAAATTCTATTAATTTCATTTTTCAAAAAGAGAGGAATTTAGGTTAGTATAAATTCTTTTAATTAAAATAAAGAAAGAAAAAATTAACAAATTCAAATTTTTGTTAATCTATATAATAAAATAGTTTATAATTTAAATTTTAAAATATAAACAAAATAATTTTTATTTTTTACAGTTTAAATCGTTTTAAATTTTATTTTAAAGTTAATCTAACGGGTAATATTAATACTCTAAATTAATAGGAAAAATAGAGCCTTAAAGATGTGTTTGGAGTAATCTTTAAAAAGTATTTTTAAAAAAAAAAATTCATAAGTATTTTAAAAAAAATAGTGTTTGACATCGTCCCATCACTACTTCTACCATTACCACCATCAACATCACCACTATCGTCATCGCCGTTGCACCAACCACCACCTGTCACTGCCCATACACCACCACTGCCACAGCCACCACAACTGTTATTGTCGCCACAATCAGCGTTATTGTCGCCACCGTCACAACCATCATCGTTTCTTACCACCATCACTGTCGTCTATCATTTCTTACCCCTAGTACAACCGATGTTTAAATTTATTTATCTATCTTCTATATTTGTGATTTAATTTTGGATATAAATACAAATATATTTATTATTTTTTATTATTCTATATCTTCGGACACAGACAATAACTATTACGGCTATAAAATATGTCCATAATATATATAATCATATTTTTTTTATTTTCAATCATACTATTATAGGAGAAATGGAACCTACATCTTCTCCGCACAAATAAAGTGTATCCCAAAATCACTTTGTATTAAAAACGATTTCATATGATGTATAAAATTTATTACGTCTTCACTTTCATCCCATTTCTACCCTTGTTTAGTAAATATTCATTAATGCTTAATTAATTAATAAAAATGGTGGGAGTGAATTTAATTTTTTAAAAATTAAAATTTAAAGTGGTTAGCAAAAGAATAGATGTACCACATATGTATAGAGAGAGAGAGAGAGAGAAAGGACAGTGAGGGCAGCAAGGAAAAGCCTGCGGTAGAAGCAGGGCGTTACGGCGCCGCCTTCCAATTGTGCAGAAGTGTTTTTATTGCTGCGTTTCTTACGTTTTCAATAGAAAACGGTACGACAAACCACGTTCCTTTATCATTGTTTTTGTGTGGTACAACTTTTCCACCTGGATTCTCCCTCTTCCATCCCCTTTACTTAACAAGAAGTTTTTCAAATATTTTCATAAATTTTGACTATTGAATTTTGCACATTAATTTATTAATAAGTAAAGGAAAATTTTCAACCATATTTTTTTTAGTTTATTATATTTTTAATAACACTCTTTCTATTATTAAAAATATTACTGATATTTTTTTTAATTTATATTTAAACATCACTAACACCCTTACCATTAAACTACTATTTCTAACAAAATTTTTTTTATCTAACATACCAAAAAATGTCCTTACATAAACCTCAAATAATTTTTTAATATAAAATTTTATTAAAATTCGAATAGATTAAAATTTATTTTTTTAAATATTAAAATTTGAACTAATTAAAATTCGATTGAAGTTGATTAAATTTTATTTTTTAAAATATATTAAATTTGAGCTTATTAAAATTTATTTTTTACGTATTAAAATTTAAGCCGATTTGAAATCTACCCGAGTTATTAGCACCGGTTAAAATTCACTTTCGAGTTGATTAAAATTTATATTTTTTTACTTACTAAAATTTGTGTCAATTAAAATTAAATTTATTAAAATTTGAGTCAATTAAAATTTATATTTTTTTATGTATTAAAATTTGGGATGATTCAAATTCAATGCGAGTTAATTAAAATTTGATTTGAGTCGATTAAAAATAATTTTTTAATTGGTTCAAATAGAATTTTAATTAACCCAAATTTAGTACGTAAAAAATATAATTTTTAATTGACTCAAATTTTAATATGTAAAAAAATAAATTTTAATTAGCTTGAATCGAATTTTAATTTGCCTGAATTTTAATATATAAAAAAAAAATTAGAAAACAAGGGGAGTCTCATTGAAGATATATTTATGTAGAGGGAGTGTGAATGAAGTTTGTCCTCAAATATATCATGAGTAGTTTAGTAAAATTACATTGTAGTTAATAGTTTTAATTTGACAGAGGTGTAAGTGAATATTTAAAAAATAGAGGAGGTGTACTTGCAGATATGATAAACTTGAGATGGTGTGGTTAAAATTTTCCCATAAATAAATTATTTGGATGAGATTTTGTGAGATCTTTTCTCCTTTTTTTTAAAAAAAAATTATTCACATATTAAATTATTAATTTAAAAATTAATAATTTTTTCTAATTATATTTTTATTACGTGTTTATTATAACTACTCATCTTCTTCCATGCTAACTTGTTGAACGCAATTTGAATTATTAACTCGAATCATTAGTTACTTACGGAGTATAATTCAAATAACGTCTAACTTGAATATTTTTTAAAACTCAGGTTAAGCCTTGTTCAAATATTTCAATCCTACTTTTAATTCAAGTGACATATAGATTGGAGTTTTGAGCTTTTTTTTTTTGTAATTTAATTTTGAATCCACCTCAACTTAACGAATCCAAATTAAACTCAAAATACAATACGAATTGTACAATCAGATAATCAAATCCAAATTCAACAAGAAATTAGTTTTTTTTATTTTTGGTTCAACGATTAGGGGTGTTCGGATTAATTTACGCGTATCTTGATTAATTCTCTTTTTGAATTAGTCAAAGAAAAACCATCTATATTACAATTAGGATATTTTTTAAAAATTTATCTTTGTTTACACTTTACATGTATTTTGACTAAATTACTCTTTAACTCGATTAAAAAATTATCATAATTTAAACTTAAAATAATTAAACTTAGAGCTAGTGTTTAAGAATTCTGTCTCTCTCATTTAAGAACATGCCGAACCTTCTGATGCGCCACTCGTCGCTACCAATAAGTGAAGTGTGTTGCTGAACATAGGTAGCGCATAGCCTTTTACTTTGGGGACCATCCTCAATCAATGATATACAAGCCGTGAAGTTGAAGCCATTAATAACAACACTAAGGATGATGATTCTCTTTCTGCGCCAAGCAGATTACAACTTCCTACCACGCAACACAGTCATGTCCATTCTAACTTATTTATTATCCACATTTATCAATTATGTAAATTTTAGAGTCGTGTTGTGTCAATTTTGAATCATTTTCGTATTGATGAATCAAATCGACACCCTAACTAAACAATAATGTGATACAAACTACATTAATATAATCAAATCGACACCCTAACTAAACAATAATGTGATACAAGCTACATTAATATACACACGGCGACCCACAAGAAGAGGAAAATCAAAATTGTTATGAATAAGAGTGAAATGATTGTTTAGGATCGATTTTAATTTTTTACAAGGAATCAATCAATATTAATGTCTTATACTTCGTTTGATAGGAAAGATAAAAAATATGAACGATGAAAAATATGAGGGATACATTTTCTTTCTTTTGTATTTGGTTAGATGGACGGAAAATAAAAACGACTAATTTTTTTTTAATTTTTTTTGTGTTGGTTAAGATTAGAGGTGACAATCGAATCATGTCGTGTCAGATTTGTGTTGAGTCATAAAATTATGAGTTTTTTATATTTCTTATTCGAGTGTCAGGTCATTTTTAAGCTTTTTAGTCATAAAATTTGTGTCGAGTTCGGGTCGTGTCATCGTGTTGAGTCGAAAATTTTTACACCTAGTTAAAATGAAAAAAAATTAAATTTTTTTAATTTTAATTTTAATTTTTTATTTTTTATTTTAAAAAAATAAATAAATAAAATATATATATATATATATATATATATACATACATATTTTATTATTTTATTTTTATATAAAATTAATATATACATAATATATCTATATAATAAAATAGTTTATAATTCAAATTTCAAAAGATACACAAAATTACTTTTACTTTTCGCGGTTCAGATCGCTTTAAATTTTATTTTAAAGTTAATCTAACGGTTAATATTAACACCCTAAATTTAATATGAAAAATAGGTCTTTAAGGGTGTGTTTAGAATGACTTTTTAAAAATACTTATAAAAATTATTTCTCATAAGTACTTTAAAAA